GAACGAAAAATCTCTAAAAACCAACTTACAAAAAGAATGCAAGTGCTTCAGGTTGAAGAAAATTACAGTTTATTTCGTAATTATATGTTTTCATGGACGAAAAATTAATACAAAATAAAAAATAGATTGAAAAAATAGCCATTAATTACAAACGAGACTCAAAACACCGGACCTTCAGCGCAGGAATTTTAGGGTGTCGCCGTTAAGCATTTAATAATTATTTAAAATAAATCTGTAGTTAAGGCAATAATAAAACTCTACTCGTAAATATCTCAAAAACTACTAAGTAATTGCCCTTATAATGATCTAGAAACCTGCAAAGTTTCAATTAAACCAATGACTCGAAGAACTTGCACTCTCCTCGTTAGTAGCAAACGCATCAATGATGTACATAATATTAAACATTATAATACACGTATATTAATCAAACAGGTTACATACTATTTCGCTCTTTGCTATCCATACTGTCATCTTTCCAGGACTCGTAAGAATACGGGATCAGAGCGCCATTACAGTCTAAGAAGGACATTGACAGAATACATCCCTTTAACTTAAACGTAGATCCATCTACGATAAACAGAATAATCATAGCATTACATTATACACATCTTCGTGTACAAAGAAATATCGTACTTATTTCATTATACGCAACACTTACTGCACGTAGAAACAACGACTAGATGAGCGTGTCGTTCTCCACGAGCAGGTGTATTAAATATCACCGTTTGTATAGATCCTAAAGATGTACCGATCCAAAGTGTTGGTACAGGACTGGTATCTTAAAAAATAGAATAAACCACGTTAACGAAAGTGTAAACGATATAAAGGAAAATTCCGTGAAAAATTCCTCGTGATCGACGTACCGCTCTTTTTCGTATAGGAATCTGCGAACGTAAGGCAGCTGATGGTTTCTGTGGTGATATTCTCGAGCGATGACATGCTCGAGCTTCTTGATCGTTGAAACGAACTGTCATATTTGTCTACCCGGCCAGCAGTCCCGAGAATAAATGGAAAATTAAATACCGAACGCGTAACGTTATCCTATATAAATTATGACGAGCATGCAACATCTATCACAGTAAACATCTCTGACAAAGTTAGCGTTTTCTAATGAAAGTCAACGAAAACCGCTAAGAGATTTGGTCAGAGTGTGAAAGAGAACTGAAAAAACGTTTCGTATAGTGACACTAATGACAAAGGATAGCGATAATTAGAACAACAATAATAATAATAACAGCGACAGCAACAACAACAACTATCATGACTAGTATCTCTCTTGATAGGACAGTTCACAGAGTAACATCTTTCATTCATTTCAACATTCACCAAGTCGATCCGATGTATCTATTCTGTCGCAGAATTGGTTAGGGTGCCACGCAAGAACGAAACGAAAAAAGGAAAATAGAGAACATTTGATTTGGAATTAAAAGATCAGTCAATCTTAAGCGAGTATATCACGGGCACTACGTGCCGGTTCGATCATGCGCAAATTACGTGTAACTAAATCAAGTCAACCACGTATAAATCCCACTTTCATTCCGTTTCACGTTGATCATCGTTGGATCGAAATTCGGTACTACATTTCAATGCTGTTAGTCACGTTAATAACTTTCATACTTGTCTCGGACCACTGGTAAACTGTATACGTAAAACGGCTGTAACATTTGTACAAATTTTAATCGTATAATCATATGGAACGCTTATAATTCAAATTTGCAACCGACGCGAGTCAAAGACACTTGACACGTAGCGTTTCTCGGAATTTTGCAAGATTGTGAGCAGTCTAACTTTGAGCAATCGAACGAGTCTAACCGATAAGTTAGATCAATTAAAAAGTGCAAGTTTAGGTAATTACTGTCATTCGAGATATAACTAAAAACTGGTTACCTTGACAATCTTAATCATCATCGATAGCAATTATCTTTTATTCGCGTTTAAATACAACCCTAGTTCAATTGATGGGAAAACATCATTCCGAAGCAAATCTTGCCTCTGCATAATATCGTAATATGCGTCTGTCGAGGAGATTTTGTGTTAACATCGTTAGCGAGTTGCATTACTAATCGTTTCCATAAAAATTATAGCACGTTAGGCACAATCCACACTCTCAAAGGCACTTCAAAGCTTGAACACAAAGGATGACCTGTTCTTAAAAATGAAAACATGAATTTTTAAATAACATAGACAATTCACGCTCTATATAAGGAGAAACGAAACGTTAGTAGCAAGAATATGATTATGCAATTTGCACTAAAAAGGCATTCTGCGACATCCCTGCGAATTCTACATTTCGAACGTACTCAGTATACATATACACGCGCGTATGCACAAGATTTCAATAAAAGTCCAAGCTGATCCACGATCCATTTCTTACTCATCTAGAACAACGCATAGAGTTAAATATTTACAAAAGATACGCGTATAATGGTATTTACAAGATTTTTCCTCCGATTTCCACGATTTGCTGTTACAACTGCGTATATGGATCTCGCGTAGATCTCGAATTATGATATATACACCCAGTCACAGGAATATTCGTCTCCCTCCGGTTACAAAATTCAAATGAAATATTCTTTTGCGACACAATTCTCAAAATCAGAAGAGAATTTCGAAGGTTTTTTAATATCCAATAAGTTCTCAAGTTGTATAGATTTGTCCACGGTGTAAAATTTTTGCAAACGTAAGAAATTAAACCGTTGCAGAATTTAATAAAATTATTTAACAATAAATTTAATAATTTAATAAAGTATTCGTATCATCGAAATTTGTTAGGTAAAATTTATCAGAAATCAGAATCAGGTATCCTCCGTGGAATTTCTATAACATGATTTTATAACATGGTTCAAGAACTGAAAAAATCCTCTTTTGAAATGGGATAATGAAGATACTTATTATAACGAATCGCAATAATAAGTAATTAATCATTATAATTATAATCATAATAACGACGATTTTTGACAGAAAGTATCGATATTTTTCATATTCAAGTAAATCTTTGTGTGAATTTTAAAATACTGAAGTTTCGAATTCATTTTCAGTTCGCGTAGCATTAAAACTTTGCACTCGATAAATAGGGAATTGGCAATTCGCTTTTTTTTGTACAAAAAAATCAATAACATCATTTTTTATAACTAAAATAACTTAACGAATAGAAGTATTTTATTTCAATATTTTGCGTATTTTTAATTTTTAATTTCATAATTTTGCTTTATATGATATTTTAGGAAACAGTGTACGAAGAAAATATTATATATCATTGATTTGTAGTAGTTTTGATTAATAAACAATTTTAATTATGAAAATTCATTTTTGAAATTTAACTTTATTTTTTGACTAGCCCTTTGTTTCGTATAACATGTATTCGCATAATGTAGAACGTTTTCAAAACCTAATAACGTTTTTATACAGAGGATACCTGTATTTACGAATTTACCGTGTCTTAATAATTAATTTCGTTAAATGTAATACATTCTCATTAACTCGTTGGCGTAGACTCAGTGACAATTGTATATTTCGAGTAAAATTTCGACAAATTCGTGGAAATTTATAAAAATGTTCAGTTAGAACATTTTTGATAAAAAAAAAAAATAAAGAAAATAAAAGATTGAAATATATATCACGTTTCATGCATTATTTATCTTTAGATCAAATTGTGACGAATCTGAACACTCATATCGACGTGCGTTACTTAGCATATTTCGTTTGTTCTATAAAAAAAAAAGACTTTTAATTTGCGACCACGAAGTGTAGCACGTTTCATTTTGATTTTGAAAACTGTTATGTTTTCCATTGGGCGATCATAACCATAACGTTGTGTTCTTTTGCTACGAAAACTGTTACATTTCAGTAGTATTTGAAAAATTTCACTGTATAGTAACATAGTTATTCTTAATGACCAAAAGTAGCACGTTTTGTTTCTAGTTATGAAAAATATAGCATTAAAAAATTCGTCAAACATTTTACTGGAAAAATTGAAAGATAAATGTTTGTAATTATTCCAACATTTGTAACTTGTGAACTTCTCAGTTATTCCACCAAATCTAAAACTAAAAATAAAGCTATTTTAAACATTTATCAATTTATTATGCATTCATCTACTTAAGATCATTGCTACTACGTCAAATATTCGTAAACTGAAGTGTCCCAATTTTCGTAGGACATATGAGTCATTCACGGGTCAAAATAATTAACTCCATTCTCTGAATGTTTTAAAACTTTTGTGTCAAAATACTTAAATTTGCATATTCAAAATAAATATCTATCTTTTATTACGCGAAGTTAATCGATTTACAAAATGAATGGCTCGTACGATATATGCTGCTCTTTTCTCAGTGTTCAAAATTTTATGAGATTCATGATGAATTATGAATCGTTATCGTTATCGCAGTGAATATCAAACACGCTACTTTGCGATTAAAATAATGCTATTTTTCTTAACACACGTTGATATGCACGTGATCGATGAATATAAAAACTCAGATGTACGTTATCGAATCTAAAAACTCGTAGAATTTAAATTCAAACTCACATCATTAGCAAATCTATAAACTGTCATATATTCATGTCATTGACAAATCTATTACATAACACCTCATATTCCATCCAATAATTCGGATCTAAAAACTCGTTTAACTCTTTAACTGCCACGCCAAAATCACATGTTTCCCTCAGGACACCACAGGAGTGCACCGCTAGATGCAAGATTAGTTCTATGCTTTGATGTTCTAATAAAAATTTTTAATTGTTCACTGGGGCATTTTTTATTTCAGAGTATCTCGATCCCTCGCACAATATTCAAAATGCACTAACTGTCAATTTTTATTCAATATAGTACAATGTAGTTTAACCACTTGCTCTACCAATAAACTCACGGTTGCGGTACCGTGCGCTACAGTATAACACGCTTAAGGTGTCACATTGGCGCCGCGAGATACTGTATCGATTTTGAAATATTTCCAAGATATCGATGACACTATGCGACGCCGTGCACTCTGCAACTGTAGCTCGAGAAATGAACGATCTGGTTGTTAGTCGACGTGCAGCCCACGTCATTTTTATTTCTACGATAAATGCCTATCGACGTGGTGTACACGTCGCTGGCGATTTTGGAACAAAAGCATCTTGACGTGCATGGCACGTCTTTCCACCACAAGTGGTTAAGCAGAAATGAGCATTGGTAGTCTTGAATGACTATCGCGGCAGTGGCTCGGCCCCACGGTACGGTTTACTCAAAACCACTCCGTCTACAATGGATTAAGTAAAGAAAATCACGATAAAGTACAGAGGTGTAGAAAAACGGAAATCTCCGTAACCGGTCAACATTCTGGCGACTAAACACGGAGATTTCCGTGATCGGTCGTCAACGTGTTAAAATTGGAATTTTTGGGTGAGAGAATTCTTTTGAAATATAGCGTTCGAATAGTTTCGTGAGTCTTTTGGTAAAACGTGTCTTTCTCAAAATGTGTCCGTTGGTAAAAGAACCAAAATATTCAACTGTGAGTCATCTAATGCGAACGAGTTAACAAAGATTTTGGAAATTGTATCGTAAAATAATAGCAATCGTTCGAACTCTGTTATCTCTCCAATAATCTAATTCGATATATTTATTTGATATATTTGCAATATATAGATACGAATATCTGCCTGTGACTGTATGTATACAAAATTCCAGTCGAATGTATCCAAATTTGTTTTCGAAAAATCTGTTTTGAGAAAATTTTCCATAAAATACATTCCCGTTTCTCTTCGCAACGAATTGACACCGTATCGATGTTAAGAAAACTACGATTTATCTTTATCAACATCCTGTGCATTCGATGGTTGATTAAGTGTACACTGAGCGGAAGAACGAACTCAATGTGTTATCATTAGGCAACATTTATTAGAAAAAGAAAAAGCCAACTGAAAAATGAGGCAGATAGATGGAAATCGATAGAGAACGCGGAAAAATATTTTTCGTCAGTGGTGCAGAGTGAGAATT